TGCCAAGAAATTGCCTCATGATGTTAGATTCATGAATAGGATTTTAAAGAGTATTTAAATCATTTTTCTTGGCTAAAGGGTGTGAATCCTTTGGGTATCCAAACTTTCATACTTTTGGAAAGGGGCTATGGATGCTTGGTGTTTTAATGACCAGCCTTAAAGGCTGGAGGCTCTTCTTCTCTCTCCTTTACATGTATAAATTGAGACGACCAGCCTTAAAGGCTGGAGGCTCTTCTTCTCTCCCCTTTACATGTATAAATTGAGACCCTCCTATCAAGTTTCAATATAGAAATTTTTTGCTTCTATTTTACAAGTCAGTTTGCAAGAAAGTTTCTACATTGAGAGAGTGCTGCCACTATTTTTGTTCGCTAAGCTAGACAGAAAGTGCTTCTGCCGTAGCTGGTTTTGACCGTCGTATCCTGGGAGACAGACGCCGGGTTTCCTCAAGCACTCGGCCCATTAGGCGGCGAAATCTGTTTTAAGGAAACTGCTTCCGTGTAGGCTTCGGTTTCGTCTCTTTACCCTTTTATTGTTTTGTGTATTTCTGTTGAAATTTAATTGTAATTATCAGCATATGTTCTTGGCATATAATTTGATTTCTTCGTAAATCTATTTATTTAATTTCACAATTTGAACAACAAGTTAAACACAAATAATCAATAAGTGAGAGAGTTACAAATTGATAATAGTAGCACTTTTATAAAAATTAAAAAAAAAAATCTCAATTAAATGACATATTATTAACAAAAAGAGAGAAATAAAGAAAAAAACAAATTGTAACAAAAAAATTTAAAAATAAAATAATAATATCCTTTTATATAAACTCATTTTCTCACAAATGCAAAAACTCATGCAAGTACACATTTTAAATGTAAAAAAAAAATATTTAAGATTTTTAGGCACAAAAAAAGGATTAGAAATGGCTCAATGTTGATTGTTTTCTCCCAATTTTCTGTTCATGATTTCTTTTGCAAGAACTTGTTTTTATATTGAAAATATTATGCTTAAACAAAAGATATTTATGGAATTTTATCATGTTTAAAATTTGTATGGATAATTAATTGATGATTTTAAAAAATAAAATATTAAATTCAACTTGAAAATAAACTTTAAAAAGATTAAACTAAAATATATAGAATTCTATAACAAACTAACAAAAGATAAATATAGATCGCTAAAAAAATTATTATCTTTTTGGGATATTTATATCCCAATCTCAATCCTTTTTTTTTTATTTAAATATTTTGTTATCTTTTATTTAAATTTTCATTTTGCAGTTCAAATCTAAATAATTATATTTTTATTTTTGTATATTCTTCCATCACTATTTTTTTGTTGCTCATATATAAATAATTACCTTTTTATTTTAAAAATTATTTGACTCATCCTATTTTTTTTATTTTAATATTATGCTTAAACAAAAGATATATATGGAATTTTATCATATTTAAAATTTGTATGTATAATTAATTGATGATTTAAAAAAAATAAAATATTAAATTCAACTTGAAGATAAATTTTAAAAAGATTAAACTGAAATATTTGGAAATTTTATAAGAAACTAACAAAAGATAAATATAGATCGTTAAAAAAAATTATTATCTTTTTGGGATATTTATATCCCAATCTTAATCTTTTTTTTTTATTTAAATATTTTGTTATCTTTTTTTTTAAATTTTCATTTTGAAGTTCAAATCTAAATAGTTATATTTTTATTTTTGTATATTTTTTCATCTCTATTTTTTTGTTATTCATATATAAATAATTACCTTTTTATTTTAAAAATTATTTGACTCGTAATATTTTTTTATTTAAATATTTTTAATTGTTCATATATAAATAGTTAAATTTTTATTTTTAAAATTAATGGACCCGTAATATTTTTTTATTTAAATATTTTGTTATCTTTTTTTTAAATTTTCATTTTGCAATTCAAATCTAAATAATTATATTTTTATTTTTGTATATTTTTTCATCTCTATTTTTTTGTTATTCATATATAAATAATTACCTTTTTATTTTAAAAATTATTTGACTCGTAATATTTTTTTATTTAAATATTTTTAATTGTTCATATATAAATAGTTAACTTTTTATTTTTAAAATTAATGGACCTGTAATATTTTTATTTAGTTATTTTTTTTATCTTTTATTTGACTCTTTATATTATTTTTGTGGTTAAAATTTGAATAGTTATCTTTTTATTTTTTATATTTTTATCTTTTTCTCTTTGTTGTTCATATCTAAATATTAATCATTTTATTTAAATATATATAATCCTTTTGGCTTTTGAGATTTAGATAATTGACAAATGATTAAAAATTAAAAAAAGTGAGAGAAGAGACTTGAGAGGTGACACGTAAGAGAGAGAATTCATAAGAATTTAGTATTAAGGGTTTGAAGAATTCTCATACTCTACTACATTTACTTATAGATATAGTATAGATAGATATAGATTTACATAACCTTTAAAAAAAAGTGCAAGACAACCCAACACGCGGACTCAGGCAGTCAAGCTCTATGTAGCAAATATGGCTTTGTTTGGGAGGGAAAAAGTCAGGTTTTTTTGGTTAAAATAGTCACAAAAAATAAAATAGACTTTTTAGCCTAATAAGATAAAATATTATATTTAACACATAATCATTACATTCTTTCTCTCACAAAAAAGTTAAAAAAAATCAAAAAAAGCCAAAAGTCCTTCCTAAATAATGAGACTTTTTAGTCCTAGCCAAAATAGCCAAAAAGCCAATCCACTTCTCAAACGAATCCATATTGGGTCTGATTGTATAATTTATTGTAATTTTAAAAACAAAAACGCGCAACCAACTTTAAGATAATTAACCTCTTTTAATTTATTTAAATTATTTTTATTTAATAACCAATAAGTAGAAGTTGCATAAAATAATTTAATACAGATTTTTAAATTAAAATAATCTAAAATCAACTCATTTAAGTTGCAACCAATGTTACACGGATTTCGGTACGGTTGTTGGCTACAGGAGTGTATTTAGAGATTCGATTTATCAAATTTTAAATGTAGGGATACACAAAGTTGGGAAAAAAAAATCATATTTTTATATTTTTAATCGATTAGATGAGATAAAATAGTTTTACATTCAACATACAGTGTCAAAAATAAATTTATAACAATTATACCAAAAAATATATATACAATAATAGTGTTAAATATAAATATGTATGATGTGTCTAATAAAAAATATACCATGCATATCTCATATCATTGTCCAAATATCAGATGCCCGACACAAATATTTAATTTATTTTAAAGAGTCTGTATATCATAACAAACAATCCATAGACCTATTTTGTGCAGGTTTTGGTAAGAGAGCTTTTTTGTTATTTTTTAAATAGATTAGAAAATGCCCGAAGTCCCCATTACAAACTACCATAGCTTCTAGCAACACCAACCAGCAAAGAGAATCAACATCCTCCATCTAATCAATTTACTTAATAATTGAAAAATAAAAATTAAAGGTAACTCTACCCTTACTTTTTAATAATCAATTTTTTAAAATTTATTTACATTATTTTTGTTTCACAAATTAAAAAATTGTACCAAACACTCCCATTCAAATTTTAAAATTAAAAATAAAAATTATAAACAAATTGAATCATTGCAGCCTATCTCCTTCTCCTTTTAGTTTTTACTAGGTAATGTGATTGGCATATTGGTCCTTTTTTTTATTACCAAGAATCTCTCTTTTCCACCATAATTTCACTACTTTTAACAAAAGAAATCTTGTCTAATGACATTGATTAAAGCTCACAACACGGTAAAAAGTTAAACAAATAGAGCCCCACCCAAAGAAAATGTCAATTATATAACTACAAATAACACTTTATATAATAATATAATTATGATAATGTGCATCTTTATTTTGAACTCAAATCTTTCATTTGCACATATTTATTTATTTATTTTTGACAACATAATGGAAGAATATAGGCTGCCAAATCCAGTTGTCAAATCCAATAACTTTCTGTTTAAATTATATGACCAATCAAAACATTCACGTTCTTGCATGCAAAATGTGGACCCCATCCTTTGTTTTTTGTGTTTTTTCACAACAAAAATCAATTCAAGAAGGGGCAGCCTGTTCTTTTCATGCCCTCCTGGCCATTTTCTTGTGCACTAATGTCGGTCGAGTCATTCTATCTCTAAACTATTTATTTCTGTTGACATAGTTATTTAGGCTTTGTTTGAGATTAATTTTTTTAATTTAGGTTTTTTTTATTATTATTTTAATCTGACTAAAAAGTTTCGTTTATGATAAATTTTTAAATTTTTTTAAAATTTTATGAGAGAAAAAGTAAATAATTATGGTTTGAATATAATATTTTGTCTTATTGATTTTTTAGCTTATTTTATCTTTTAGTCAACTAAATTAGTCCTAACCAACTTGCCAAACGGGATCTTGATGAAAATTTTAAGAAAAATTATTAATTTTTCTTCAAAGTTTGACTAAAAAATCACAAGATTAGTCGGTTTTAATGAAATTACATTTTCCTTTCGTTTAATAATTCATATTCGAATATGAGTTTTCATTCAGTAATTCGTATATATGGGGCATAAATTTTAATTAAATAGTAGGTTTTCGAAAGGGTGTGAAAATTTTGAAATATATAAATTGAGAAAAACCAGTATGAAAATAGAATAATCTGGTCAGTCTCCATCCATCATTTGTAAATTGCTATAATACCCTATAAAATTCTCAAACCCCTCCAACTCCAGTTGACTAATATATTATAATGGGAAGTCTAATGTGGCTTTTTTTCATTTAAAAAAAAAAAAAAAAGAAATTGGCAAGGAAACGTTTGAATATTTTAGCCATTTTCCAGGGTAGAGATGTAAATATACAATGGTGAGAAAAAAAATTCCAAAGTAGAGCTTTTATATGCCCAAAAAGCTTAAGAAAAACATCATTTATTGCTCATCTTCATTCTCATAGATCAAACAGAGAGAAAAGCTCATTCATCATTTATTGCTCATCTTCATTCTCATAGATCAAACAGAGAGAAAAGCTCATTCTCTGCTTCCCAAGTCTCTACTCTTCCTCTTCCACCCAAAATGGAGAGAAAGGTCTCTCCAATGGCCACCCTTCTCTTCATTACAGTCCTTATAGCTGCTTATTATTTCTCAGAGTCCCAAGCTCAGTCAAGTAGCTCATTCCAAGACAATTTCAGTATAATGTGGTCAGAAAACCATTTCAAGACCTCTCCAGATGGGCAGATCTGGTATCTCTCATTGGACAATGATACAGGTACATCTATATCACAAAAATCAAGATTCATATAGATCCAATTTTCTGTCTCTAAATCTCTCTCTCCCATTGCACGATCATGCGTGAATCTCGACACATGATTTGCATTGGGATAGAGAAACTAAGTGATTTAGAGATAGAAAATCCCGTGCCATGTATATGTAATGTTTTACTCTATGCATTGAAGAATTTGTTAATGAAAACATGAGACTGAATATGGAAATATTTGAATAGGTTGTGGGTTTCAAACAAAGCAGAGATACAGATTTGGGTGGTTCAGCATGAAGCTCAAGTTGGTGGGAGGTGACTCTGCTGGTGTTGTGACAGCTTATTATGTATGATTGATGATTATACAGATTATTACCAAATTTGCCCTTAGCAGAATTTGTTTTTATTTGTTTTTGGGAAATAACATGAAGGGTAAAAATGTAAATTTACGCAGATGTGCTCGGAGAACGGGGCGGGGCCGACGAGAGATGAGTTGGATATCGAGTTTTTGGGGAACCGAACAGGGCAGCCGTACCTCATTCAGACCAACGTTTACAAGAATGGAACTGGAAACCGTGAGATGAGGCACCAGCTTTGGTTTGATCCCACTGAGGACTTTCACTCCTATTCGATCCTCTGGAATTCCCACCAGATTCTGTAAGTATCTCTATAAATTCATTGATTTCTTACTACTATTTTTTTAACTTCAAAGTGTCAAAGACTTGCACCATATAATTTATTTCTCTATAGTCCACATTCTGGGTATAACAGTCCAGTCCAACACATTATGCCACCTACGTTATATTTTTTTGTAAATCAAAGTTTTAGGTTTTGTTGACTTATTAACCTGTCAAATATTGGGTCGGATTTTTTTTGTTGGATCTAAAATTGGGTTTGGAAATAGATCGATAAAATTTGAACTATTACCTTTTAAAAAATATTGACGTGGCGAGCATGAAGTGCTCAGACTAGACATCCAATTCGGGTAGATTACCTTTTTTTATTGGCATTCACGAGACAATAATATTACAAACTTAGAAAAATATGCAAAATTTGAATTAGATTTATCCTGGTGTAGCCTATTTAATAATATAATACTAAGGTTTAAATCTATACTATATATTTAAATTTTGAGAAATTTTTTTTTTCCTAAGTATGTGACATTCCAACGTAGATGCTTGACCTCTAGACTAATAAGGTTGATCAATACCTAAACAGAATCGAACTCAATTCATAAATGAATTACACCTCCAAAACAGTAGCTTAATCTGAGATCAAGTTTAACCAAGCATCAAACTATGTTCAATAAGTTGTTAGTATGAAATATAATACAAATCCCTTTATTTTTATTTATGTTTTTTATATGTTTCAAAGCGCGGAAACAATATTTTCATATATGGGTAAAAGTTTCGTAGATCTTGCTGGGTTCAAAGCACGGAAACAACATTTCCATACATAGTGGATGGTACTCATGCACACACACGCCTTTCCTCGTATGCCATCATCATTAGGGATAGCTGATTATTGAGTTATATAAAAATGAGCAAAACTTGGTCCTAATGACAAGGGTAAAGCTGGGTAATTAATTCAATGAAGCAATTAACTATTTGGATCAAGCTGGTAAAGCTGGATAAAAATTACGATCAAGCTATCGTTTATCCATTGATTATCTATTTGGATCCTTAACTAATTCTTGACAATATTCATTGTTGAAAATACCCTAATCAAAATTTTTAGCACAAATCACCGCAAAACAAAATTCCAAATTTTAGCACGTTAAAACGCATGCCTATAACTGGTAGTGAAGCATTGTTGCATTTGAATCATCCATTGAATTGCTCTTCACATTGGAATTGTTGTGTAAAACAGGTTCTTTGTGGATCAAGTACCGATTCGGGTGTTCAAGAATGCTGATTATGCAAACAACTTCTTCCCAAATGAGAAGCCAATGTACCTCTTCTCAAGCATATGGGATGCAGATAACTGGGCAACAAGAGGAGGGCTCGAGAAGACGAATTGGACGAATGCTCCTTTTGTGTCCTCTTACAAGGACTTCAGCGTCGATGCTTGCCAGTGGGAGGACCCTTACCCGCCATGTGTATCCACCACCACCAACAACTGGTGGGATCAGTATGCCGCTTGGCACCTCACCGATCAACAAAAAACTGATTTTGCTTGGGTTGAGAGGAACCTTGTTATTTATGATTATTGCCAGGACACCAAAAGGTTCCCAACACTGCCTGAGGAGTGCTCACTAAGTCCATGGGATTGAGCACAAAGAGAATTCTATATATATATATATATATAAAGAGCATTGAAAATTTTCATTTTCTTTATTTTGTTTTTCTCTATGATTTTTTGAGTTTTGAATTGAATATATATTTGCTCTCTGTTGGGCCAATTCTTGTATTGGATTATTATTGGATAATTTTTCCTATTTAATTCATTAAATTATTTTTTATCAGTCTAGACAGCATCTTCTATTGCATTACCCACATAGTTTTACTTCTTAGCAGCAAATATCCAAACCCAAAACAGAGTTTGGGAGAAGGAAAAAAAAAAAGAAACAATTGTTGAGTTCCTTTTTGGGCATTGGGGATTGATATTCATATTTTGAGTAAGAGTACAGTCCTCTAGTTCAGGGACTAGACCAGAATTTCATCCCAAGAACAATTCAATAGAAAAATCATACAATAGTATAATTAGTATATAGTTCAAAAAAAAATAAAAAAATGATTAGCATATGGAAACAAATATTAGTATTACATTACATTATGATTTCTGAATAAGATAAGGAAAACAAATCATTAAAAAAAGTTGTTTTATAGATTCATAGTGTACATTTTACGTGACAATGATGAACAATTTAGGCTTAGTTTGGCATAATATAAAAAAATTAAAAAGTCACTATCATATTTAAGTCACATCATCTTATTTAAGTTATATCACCTCTTTACCACATCACTTCAAACCCAATCAATACCTAACCCATATTTCATAAAAAGTCAAAAAATATACTTATTTAAAACATTCCAAACAACCCCTTAAAACAAAAAGTCAAACTTGTACTAGAACTTGAGATCATGAAATGCAAATAAAATTGTGTGATTGTATCAAAGAAAAAAAAAGTGAGAGAAATCTCCACTAGATTTATTTATTTATTCATTTCTTATTATTATTATTATTATTATTATTATTATTATTATTTTATGGAATATCCAAACAGAAGTGTAATAACATGCCTGAAAGCTCTAGGGCTGTAATCAATGTGAAGTCCTCTCACTCCTTTTGAGCAGTGGAGCATTGTCTTCAATTTTCTGCGCTAACAAGATGATTATGGCAGGGTCATAAAATAACCACATAACTTTGCTTTTAAAGTAGGGTAAATTATACTTTATCCTTTTAAGTTAGACCATTTTTTCACTCTTAATTTTTATTTTATTTTATTTTTTTACTTTGACCTTTCGTATTCAATTTTTTTTTTTCACTAAAATTAATTTCTATTAAAAATTATATAAAAAGTCATGTACGGGGAGCAAATATTCCGGCGTGCCCGTATTCCTTTCTTCCGAGCTCCGTCGATATCCGATCACCTGCGAGCAAATAACGGTGAGCTACCCGGCGGTGTGTGGCCGGAAACACCCTCCGACGGTCAAATTAGCACACACCTTAGAGGGAATAGAGAGAAGGGAGAGAGTGTTTGAGTGTAAGAAATTCCTTACAGAGTGTTCGTCCGTCGCGTATGGGGGGCGCAGACATGCTTATATACCTTCTGAGCCCCATATCCACTCCCTATCATCTCCTGACACGTGGCTCTGCTATCCCATCTGTCAGCATAAACCATGCCATTCATCACCTGCTCTCAACTGCCTGTCAGCACAGCTGGAGCTCTGCAGCCGAGCTGCCCTACCTCGGTCGTACCATGCTTCATACCTTAAGCGCCTAACCGGATAAACAAACGGAGGACCGGGCTAAGCGGCATCCCGGCCGAGCCTAGCCCGGATACTTACTTTGATCGGCCTTCCTGCCGACCATACAGTCTCCTCGGCTGACCACGCCTTTCCGGGCACCGGCCACTCAACTTCCTCGGTTGTCCATGCCTTCCTGGCCGCCGGTCCCTCGGTCAATCCGGCTGTGGCCATCTTCGGACCAGGCACCCTGGTCCGACCGAGCACTGCCTTACCGAGCAGTTTCCGTCCAGTCCGGGGTGACACTCAGCCCGTACTCTGCCCGGCCCAAATTCTGGCAGCCCACTTTGGGCAAAAAGTCGATCGTCTCGCACCTATGCACCGTTGGGCCCTCAACTTGCTCGGCCGTTACCTCGGCCCAACTCCAGATCACAATTCACCCTCTCAAGTCACAATAATTATCACATAACATAAAAAATATATTATTATATTATAATTTAAATTTATGTCAGAGGTGTGAGTTATATGCAATAAAATATTTTTATGTTACATGACTATTAATGTTTTATTTTTTTATCTAATTTTTAATATAATTTAACTTTAGGAGTAATGTGAAAAAAACCTAAAACAGAAAGAGCTAAAATAAAAAAATTAAAAAAAAAATATGACTAAATATAAAAAGAGTAAAGTGTAATTTACACTTTGAAATATAAAGATCATATTCTCTATACAAGCAAGTTTAAAATGCATACCAAATTATTTGTCACAAAATATATATACCAAAATATAAATAATAAAATGTCATTGGTTAATGATGAAGAGGAGGGGTGTAAATTTGGTCCAACCCGCCCCACCCGGGCCTGGTCTCGAGCCGGTCCATGTTGGGCCTCATGGGCTCCCGCAAAAATTCGGGTCGGACTGGACCGACCCATAGGCCAGAAAATTAGACCTAGGCCCAAGGGTTATTCGGGCCGGTGGGTCGAGGCTCTAGTCGGGCTGGTAGGCCTGGGCCGAGGCTCGGGCTTGTGGGCTTGGGCAGGGCTTGAACATTTTTGTTTTTTATTTTTTTCTACCAAAAATGACATTGAGCCTTGGGCAAGCCGGGTCGATGGGCTAGGCCCACGGGCTAGGTTGGCCTTCAAAATGATGGATTAGACCCAAGCCCAAGTCTCGAACTGGGCTCGAGCTCGGGCCCGGGCCTAATCGGGCCCTGCCCACCCCTAATCGCGGGCCATTTTTACACTCCTAATGACAAGGAAGTTAATTTTGATGTTTGGGGGGGAGGGGGGAAGGGGATCGGTCTAAGCCCTTGTAGCCAATTGTCATGGATGACATTCTTCCTTGTTAATTCCTTCTCTTCTATTAACGATATTTTTAACGGTGTATCAATTTTTTTATTAAATTTGAGTAAAAACTCCTTTTGATATCAAGTGCATTAACGGAGGGTTTTGTAATTTCATCAAACCACCGGTCGACCAGGCAGCCGACCTGCTAGTCGACTAGTTAGTGTAATTTTTTTATAAATTTTTGCCTTGAGGTGGTCATCCGGGAAGACATCCAGTGGTAAAAATCCAATGGCAATGAACAACGATTTGATAAAAGGCACATTGATCCTCAGTTTGATAAAATAAAAATGAAATCATGAATTTGATGAACCTTTGGAGGAGTAAAAAGTAAATTTTTTCATCAAATTTAAATTTGATGATGGATTTGATGAACTATTAGAGATAGTGTAGCGATCCCAGTTTTGCCACTTCGTTGAGTATGTTAGGGATCGAGTTGCCCAGTCAACTCGCGGGGGTTCAGGGGGCAGCGCCCCTTGATGGGTCCAAAGGCAGCGCCCTAGCGGGGATCGAGCTGCTCGGTCAGCTCGCAAGGGTCCAGGGGGCAGCGCCCCTTGGTGGGTCCTAGGGCAGTGCCCTGGCGTGGTTGAGGGGCAGCACCCCGAAGCAAAAATGCAAAATGCATTAGAAGTAGCTTGTCCGTTCGAGCGGTCGTTTATGCACACGAGCGAGGCTTTCCACGCTCGAGCGAACTATGTTATATTAGTTCATGAATCTGATATTTCATATCACTTTTGTATATATCTCTCTCTCTAAAAACCCTTTTCTCTCCCTTCTCTCTACATTTCCCTACGCCAAATTGGATCAAAACCTTGATTTCTCAAGATCCATTAGAGTTCTACCATAAGTTCTTCATCAAAGTTGGTTAACTTTTCGAGGGATTCGTTGTGTGCGATGAAGAGCAAGTTTCGACACAGTTGTTTTTGGGAGTTTCATCTTATTTCTTCTTCAAAACTTGAGGTAGGGTTTTCTTGGAGTTATACATATATTTTTACAAGATCTATATGATTTTCGAAATCATCTTTCGATAGCTTTAAAAATTGATTGTTGATTCAAGAAGTTAAACGATTTTGAAAGTGGATTTGTCTCTTGTTCTTTTAAAATGATCTTATGGGTTTTGATCTTCGTTGATTGAAGAAAATATGATTTTGGAATGTTTTCTTTCAAAAGATTTGAATTGTATAGTTTTGGTGAGAAAACCTAGAATTTGAGAATTTTTTTTAAAAGAGACTGAAATTCATGAATAATATTGTTACATTTATTTTGTGTGTCAAAATAAATAGATGTTTGGAAAATTACTTATTTATATATATATATATATATATAAATGATGAATTTCAGGGAATATGAGAATTGTTGTTCATTTTGAAAATTATTGTTCAAAACGTTGAAATAGTCTTGAAATAACTAACTATCGAGGATATTTGAGAAGAGAGAATTGTGTTATTCCTTGGATGATGAATTGGAATAAAAGTATTTATATTCATCTTGTGAAATTGGCATATCAATTCATTTAATTATATTAAACTTTGAAAGTTGATTTGAAAACTTGCATTAAAAAAAGAATGTTGATAAACAAGTTTTCATAGAATGGTTTTGGGGTAAATACGTTGGTAAGTCTTGATAGGTGGTGTAGATGATATTGAATAAGTTGGCTTTAGAGTCCGGGGTGAAAGACCGAAAACCCGCACGGATAGGTGTCTAGCTTTCCGGTTAATACCAGTAAAAATGGCAATTTGGTAATACTTGTATAGTCTACTTGCAGATACCGACCTAGGGATTACCATAGTCGTATTTACTGCCCTTGAAATATATTGTTAAGTTTTGAACAATTGAAATTGCATGATATTATTAAGCATGATGGTTTTCAAAAGATGAAAATGTGATTTATCTTCAAAAAGGGCATAGCATGACATGTGCATTTCATCTCTTGAGACCTGTATAAAATGTATATATTTTGTTAAGAATTTCCTACTGGGCTTTATGCTCACCCTACGGGATTTTTGTGCAAAAAAAGATGTGGTGATCCTACCCAACTAGGGGCGTGGAAGTATGTGTGTTGGGAGTACAATGCTCTCATTTTGTTGTGACTCTATGTGTAAGCCAAGGGCTGTGTTTGTGTGGATTTGAATAACCGTTTTGTGTAACCAGGCTCAAGCCTTAGAAACTTGTAAACCCTTGGGGGTATTTATTTGTTTAT